CGCTCCTGTCTTTAACGAGCTGACGAGGTCGTCGCTAACCGAAAAATGCCGACATTTAACAGTGGAAAAGGTAGAGAACGAGGAAAAAGCGATAGAAGTTCCGTCGCTGAACCATCCATTGGATTCAGCAGTCGAGATGAGCTCACCGCGGTGTTCATGATACGGTCGAAAGTGGTCTTCGTATCCTTCAACTGCACTTCCACCTCGGTATGGGTCTGACCGTCGATCACCACTATCTCCTTCATATCGTCCGTAAGCAAGCGACATGAGTACGCGATGTTTATGGCTGTTTCCTAGAAAAGTATTTAAGAAATCCATAAATAGTTGGCAAACTGACCAAAATGGTTTTGTGAGTCATCATTTGCATTCTACATTGTTTTGGATACTTTTTCATGACCGCTTCGAAACGAACACAAGAAAATCCGCCTTTGAGGTATCATTATAGGAACTACCAATTTTTATGAATTGCTAAAATATATCCACAGAACTCCACATTGTAGATGATTTAAAAATCTTGCTAGCAGTAACTGTAAAAATTTAACTGGAGAGAGCACAAGTGGGAGGAGCGAGTCCACGTCTTTCTTGACAGCTGGAAACTTTTTAAAAATAATTTTTGGAACAAAAATATTTGTTTTAAGGAGTAAAAGTAAGTCCTATTTGGTTGTTTATTAAGTAACTTATTTCGCAATTTTCTGCTCCACATTCTAAAGGTTCGGAACTTCTCAGCGTCCCTCCAATTCCCTTCCGAGGTTAATTGTGCATCCACAAACAATCAACACTTCGCAATTGCCTATTATTGCACTTTCATCTCAGTTCTAGCTTTTTTCAATGTTTCCAAGCTTTTCATAACCTAATTTGTTTTCAGGCGAAGTTTTGCCCTCAAAAGGCAATTAGTTCAACTTTGCATGGCACCAATACAAAGTATCGATTGTTTGTCTGCGTATACTGTATCTCCTTCCCTTCCTATCCGCTCCTTCATCCATCACTGCCAGGCAGGTTAGTTTCTAAGGAACTGCCAAGGAAACATTT